TATGCATATATATATATACAAACACACACACACACACAGATATATATTTTTTTTTAAAATGTATCCCCACTCAATACCCTAGCACTTACCCTACCTCCTGCATATAACCCCAGCTTCCCCTTCGTCTTGAAACCTGCACCATCCTGCACCCATCCAGCTGCTTCCGAGACTGAACAAACCCATTTTAGGCAACGGTCCGTGCTGTCCTTGGCAGCCTTTTACAGGGTCTAGGGCTTATGGGGTTGAACGTTTTAGCTTTGTTGGCGATATGCTTGGAATTCAGGAATTGGGGGTTTATGTGGCTCCCGCTTAAGTCCTGAGATTATATCACTATCTGAACTAAACTCAACGTAAGACTTAAAAAGGGGTGTGTTCCAGAGGAGCCCGGCCGGCGGGACTAATCACATCAAAAGTTTTCGGCTCTAGTACAACTCGTAAGAACAACATGAACCAGCATTAGGCGTGTTGTAGAAACCTGTTTAAAGAACTCAGCACAGACCTGCGGGACTTAAGTGCCATCTTGCAAATCTAGGTCTCACGCAAAGAACATGGACAAATGACAAATACTAATCTCATGACACCTCTTGAAATCGCCTGTGAACCACAAATCCTAACCCTCCCGTCCCGTACCTTTTCCCGGGAAACCATAAACCCTATGTATAAAGGCCTAAACCCCAAACTGCAGCCTCCAATAGAACCGTGGAGGAGCAAAGGATCGCACCTCGGAGAAACTGCTTCGTGCTCGCAGGACTTGCTGGGTTTAGAGTTTAGGGGTTCGGGGCCTAGGGTTTGGGGGCTTAGGGAACATTTACGGATTTTGGACTTTAGGTTTAGGGGGTTTGGGGGTGTTTAAGGGTTTGGGCGCTTTAGGGCTTTGAGCTTTCGACGGGGTCCTACAAGGGTTCTGTCCCTGAGGGTCCAGAGCAAATCAAGATTGGGCACTCGGGTTGAGGGGTGGTTTATAGGATAGCCGTTATGCAGGCGAGCATTGGCCGTGTCTGTCAGTCTCCACTAGTCGGACCCTCTTCTACATGTCTTTTTTGTAGGGCTCCTTGTTGCTATATCTATACTCTACTTCACCCGAAAACCCTGTTCTGATCATCTAGCATAAGCTTGAGGTTGTGGTATCCTCTGGGTTCATAACCATACTGTAACTCTTGAGGGAAGTTGCGGGCTTGCGGCAATGTGTCATCTCGAATGCTTGGTGAGGCATTATGATGAAGGGATCCGGATGTAGGTGCCCTACACCCTCAAGCGAGCTCGAAGCTCGCAACGAGCCAAGCTAGAACTAGCTAGGGTGCACAGATTTCCTAAGCCTAGTACTAAAGGGTAAGGAACTGATGGACTCCATCTGACGGATTTCTGAACGAGGGGTTCTGTCAAATGTAGGGGCCTTAATAAGTAGAATAAGGTTTGGAGGTACAACATCTATACTTATACTGTTTTTGTCACGAGGAGCGCCCAGGAATAGCAACTACTAATCATTCGGACTTGTATTTTTGTTGTAGTCCGTTGAAGCTCCTTGCACGTAGCTTGGATTTTCCAGGGGGAGGGGTCAGCGCCAATTTCCTGAAAAACCCTTTCAAACGGCAGATTCAATACTTGTGGACGGACATATGTATTCAGAAATTACCCAGCACCTGAAATGCTACGTCACACCTGAGATTAAATCTCTCACACCCTGAAGGGCCTAAAACTTAAGATGCTAAGAGCAAGCTCTAACATCTGGGCATAGTTAGAAAACACGACAAACGCTCGGGTTCCCTAATCGATAAAATGGCAGGATCACGCCCCTCCCTCCCTCCCTCCCTCCAAATCGGACAAATATCTACCTACCTATTGGGCCCTTATACTACACCGGCATAAAACCTTATGGTGCCCACATATCCTTTACACCGCTGTAACACCCTTGTTTAGGGAAGTCGCTCCGGTGAGACCTCCAGAACAGTGTCGAAGCAGCGCACAACCTGAGATCCAACATCGGTTCTAGGTCATACAGGGGCTTACGGCAACACCAAATACCTTGCAGTTTTAAGGGAGCTTCAATATTTTTTCATGAGTTCCTCACAGAGTTCGTCGACCTTTTCTGTGGACTCAGACAGGGTTTAGGCTTAGGCTTGGACCGTTAATATCGCTATAACTATGGTGCTTTCCTTCTCTCCTCCGAGAAAGCACGCAAACTAATGAGGGTTCGGGTAGAGGTTTTGGTTTCGGGCTATGCAGGACAAGCTTTCGGGTCTAGGCGATCATGTCGTTGCCCATGCAAGCTCAACTTTTTCTTACGGCTGGGGGGCTCTTAGAGTAGAGCACTGGGCTGACATGATAAGCCCAAATCTGGATAAGGGCTTAGGATCTAAAGGGTCCCCTAAGTCCTGAAGCCACAAAGCTACACTCAAGCGCCACAAACATGGCTAATGTCCCAAGGCTCTCCCAAGCCCATATCTCGGGGTGTACTTCTGTGTAACCTAGCTGCCCATACCTGGGCGGCTAAGAGTTGTGCTTTACAAGTAAAGATATGCTTTGGTTGCACATATTCCGAGCCTTCAAGTAACAATCCTAAAGACCCTACAACTCAGTGCAAGCAAAGCTTCGGTGTCGTCGCGGGCTAGGTGCAGCAGGTAGTCCTGCTCCGTTTGTTGCAGTGTTAGGGTCTAGGATTCAGGGTCGAAGACTGTGGTCGACGAACGAATCTAGCGATCTAGTAAATCTAGTAGGTATTCAGAGTTCCTGATTTAAGTCTCAGGGTTTGCGGCCTAGCAACTATCGGTGGCAAGTTGGTCTTCTATACATTGGGAGACTGTCCAGCATATACAGCACTGCATACCCTCCCAGATTACATGTCAACATCGTCAAACCAAGCGGATGACCCCAAAATCAGAACACTACCCGCCTCTCTCAACCCCACTCCCCGAAGTAAACAACACCTAAACCCCCGACAAAAAGGTGGAAATCCCGAGCCCCAATCCCCCAACTACAAAACCCAAGAACCCGCAAGACAACATCCAACAGCTATGCACCGGACAGCCTTAAGGGATTCAGAAAGCTTCATGTCGATTGCATCTGTAGTCTGGTGGCGAGGCTATAGATTCGGGCTGACACGGAGCTCTGCGATCGTTGGGAGCTCCCGGCGAGCACTCCGGCAGAGGCCAACTTTACAGGCGACGGAACCAAAGCCGGAGAAGCCGCGAGTCGCAGGACATGGGCAACCTTTAAGGGCGAATCGGGACACAAGGTCCGCAGCCTGCTGCATGACAGTGCACATTCATATGGGGCAAGTCCCACAGTTTTCTGCTGGTTCCATTTAACTTCTAATACATACAAAAACCTATAGGCAAGTAGGTTGAGGGATTTCATGGAAGTTCCAAGGGTTGGGGTTCAGGTGCTAGTTCCAGCCAATGAAGGCCAGTGCCAAAAAGACACGAGCACCGTATATCAATTCACTGTAGCCTCACACCAACCAACACTGAATTCATGTTACAGCAACCGTCGGGAACATGCTGGACGATGCCCGGATTTCAAGCAGTAAAAAAACCTCAGCCCCCCAAACACCCAGGACCCCAAAACACCCCACACAAAACGCAGTCTTGAACCCAGGTATCCCAGTAAACACAAGAGCTCTTGAAATCTCGGATCCGAAGCCCTTCGCTTCAACCATGACCCGAACCCGACATCCCCAACCCCGGACCCCGCACCCAAAACCCAAAAATCTCTGAACATTTCTCTAAACTCTCAGCCCCCAAGTCAAAACTCCGAGGCCCTGTAATCCCTAAACTCTCCACTCTGAAGCGTCTCCTCGCAGTCTTCGTCCTCATCCTCCAGATCCCCCCGTGGCCCGACCTCACTGGATTACGGGATTCGCGCTGGGGGTTTGTGCTTTTAAGTTGTGTCGGCTCTTTCTTTGCGTCGCCCGCCAGCCGTTTTAGGGCTTAAGGTTTCGGAGTTTGGGTGAGGGTCTTGGGTTTCGGGTGCTTAGGAGCTTGGGAGTTTGGGGTTTGGAGGCAAGCCCTAAACCCAAAAACCTACCTATATAGATTTACAGGCTTGGGGCCCTAAAGCTGAAAGTTGTCGCCCCAAGGTTTGTGGCTCTGCTGGGTTGGTTGAGCGGATTTGTGGCCACTGGTGTTCAGCATGCCTTTAGTCCTAAAACTCTGCACCCCAAGCCCCTAGCGTGCTAAGCCATGGTAGCCCAAAAGCTACGACTACGAAGTAGAAGGTTAGTAGCACAGAAACACAGTCCTACAACATGTTTTCAGGGCTTCTGCCGGGCCGGGGTCTTCGGGTTTCCGGTTGAGGGCTTGGCGCTGAGGGAAACAACTTCCAACTTTCAGCTTTGAGCAGTGTTATATACGCTCGACGACGTGAACAATCTTACCCTTCATTAGAAAAACTAGGTCGCATGTCAACTAATATAGGGGCATTAATAATTAGAATGGGGTTTGGGGGTACATGCGGACATTCGTCTGAAGCGAGTACTGCGGATGATGCCTTGTGCATCACTTGAAAGACTAACTGAACTTTGAGTTAGCTCGTCAACTTATCATCGCAGTTTTGGGGTCCTTTATAGTATACTTATAACAAAGAGCCTCCAAAATAATATAGGTCGTTATCCGAACGATCATAAGCTGTTTAAAACCATGTATGCCCTTCAGAGATCACAACAAACATCAAAACACCAGCTCGCCTTCTAGAGCGATATAGATTCTAGGAACTAGCCTGTATATGGTCCCTTACTGTGTTCGGTCGAAATCCTGACCAAAAACATCTGCACGCTTTCATTAAAAAGGCCTACACCTCGAACCTCAAATTAAAGACCTTATATGCAAAGGCTACAAGACTCTGCATCTAAAACTCAGTAACTCTATGAGGAAACCGATCAAGCTCTGTGACAAAGGCTCGAATTCCGGGTGCAAGGCGTGAGGCCAAAGAGCTCCACGTGCAACGGGTCCGCCGAAGCCAAGCTGCAATCGTGCAAGGGGATCTTTTTGTCATTGTGGGGTTCCTAACATATGTTTAGGCTTGAGCTTTAGGAGTCTGAGGGTTCAGGGTTCAGGGTGGTTTAAGTCTCAGCTGGTATTTAGGGTCTTCAGGCTTGAGGAATATCGCACGGTTTTGGTCTAGGGTGTGCATGAGTTCCCACTGTGTTGAGGCGCCACCCTGTACTTTTGGGGCCATAGCTTCTGATTGTAGGCCTGGTTGAGCTTATGTTCGGGTACCTGAAGGGAAGGGCTTTTAAAAAGCGGGGTTGTAGAAAGGGCAACGACTAGAGTGGCAGCATTTGTACCTTGAAAAGAGGTACCTGTGACCTTACTTAAGCTTAGCACCCCCAGTGCACGGACTTTACACGATGGAGCTTCAACGTTAATACATCCCCCAATCTTAAAGCCAAACATGCTGTCTGGGGGGGGGGGGTTCCAAACAGATCCCGAGCTTCAATTTTGTGAGCATGTGCAACGCTACTCTTGTAGGCTTGCGGGTGTGTAACTTTTTCTATCGGGCTTTTGAGAGCTGTGGTTTGAAAAGCGTCATAAGAATGGCGATTACAGTCGCGGGGTTAATCATTATACAACGTTATCCAATGTGACTCTACCCGCTGCTCCAGTTGAAAGGCAACAGCCTTGAACACGGCCACCTTCCGCCCGTGAGGGCTTATGTCATTAACAGCCTGCTGGACAGACCAAAATCAAAGGAAATGTGCATGTGCAGAGTCGCCCGAGGATGAACGAATCTTCAAAAGACGAGCCGCGAATGACAAATCCAGGGAGGCTCTTCAGCCGCATAGAGACTGCGGCTGATAACCAAATGACCATAAGTTACAGGCTATTTGAGACTCGGCATGTTCTCTGCGATCCGGACTGTATAGATTCGGCCGCTTCTGGACGGAAGAAGATGACATCTTGGACTTGGCCAATGCCAGCCTTCACGAAGAAAGGAAGGTGGTGCGAGGAAACTATGTCCACAGGCGCTTGTGTTCACCCGGATGCCTCCGCTCAGAGAGTAGAGCACATTGTCACATGAGGTCTGATAGTGAAGTTCTGTTGTCCTGACTACACCCGAACAAGGCTTTTTGGGGAGTGTAGCTGCAAAGCTTGGCGGCTTAAGAGTTCTTATGGGTGAGGTGTTCGCAGGACAGGAGATAATCGAGGTTCTTGTGTGTTGGAGTTAGGGTTGTATGCTAAATCCTGCAAAGTTTCCCCGGAACCCCGGAACCAAGCGATGCCTGGTGTTTTCCAGGCCGCGGCGCCACAAAGGAGCGCCAGGCCGAACTTAGCAGGGGGTTTTTGGGGTGGCCTCGTTTCACAAAGGTCCGTGTTCCGCAGCTTTGGGCTCCCAGGGTTTGGAGGTTTGGGGCTTCTGAAGTTCGGGGCAAAGCCGATACATGGCCTGTGCGGCGTTGGGCTTGTGAGCCCTTTATGTGGGGTTTACAAAGCTTGGGTTTTCGGGCATGTGCTTAAAAAATATGCTGAAACGAAGGTACCGCCAAAATGGTCCTTCGGTTTTCCTAGCGGTCATGTCGATGACCTGCCGATCGAGGCGTGTGAAGGCTGATGCGATACCATGAAGATCACTCCTTTCAAGCGAGACTGCTTCTCTCTCGGCAGTGGGGAGCTTCTTGATGGTGATTTCCTGCTGGCCTTCAACTCGGGTCTTACGGTCTGCTCCTTTGACCTCCTCGGCCTTGGTGCAGATCGGGTTTCGCGTCATGCGGTCCACGACGGTGTCAAGCCAGCCACCTACAGGCTGATGCGTCAAGGTCTGCGGTGAACTGGCAGCCTGCGACGGCAATTTTCCCAAATGTGTCGTAGCCTGCTTCAGGTTTTCAGGGATAGGCCGGGCATAGTCTAGACGATCCTATGGCCTGAGAGGTCGGGGTTAGGGGCTATAGTACCTATATAGAACCTGTATATAACCAACCATATAGAACCCCCTCTAGAAATACCGTATAACACAATAAACGCTGGCTCAGAAGGTTCCTCCGGGTCACAGCGTCGAAGTAGCCTCAACAAAAACAATGAACCCCTGACCATGGGTTTGGCGTGCAGGCGGGTTCAGGGTGAACAGGGCTAAAGGGTGTGGGGTTTTAGGTTTGGGGTTTGCGCATGTTTACACCGGCCGCTTTCAGCGGAGGTGGAGGATTGATAGTTGAAGGGTCCTTACAATGGGGAGTCTACTACTCTGGCTGTGCATCAGGGTCCTGATTATAACCGTCTGAATCCCTCTATTTAAGGTATATTATCAGGGTTGCTTTTAGGATATTCGGTTTGTGGTGTGTCCGTTCCCCCATCCCTGTGAGGCACTCAAAAAACCAAACCCGGAACCCTATATCGCTAGACCTTGAATCCCACATCCCCTAAATCCTAAGGCCCCCCCAGGATGAGCCCTAATGGCCCAACACCTATAAAAGGCTGCTCCTCTGGGGTCCAGGTACTCACTACCTACCCCAAGGAGCCCTTGGCCCAAAGCCCCTGGATCGCAAAAGCCACGCGGCAGCAACTCGACCACCGATACGCTGGCAAAGCGGAGGGCCTCGATCGATTCGCTGGGGAGGCTTTCCAGCTACTTGCAGGGTTCGGAAAGGGCCCTTTAAGGGTTCGATAATAAGGGTTGTAGGGATGTGGGGCTGAAGGTTTCGGGAGGGATGTAGGGAGCTTAGCTCAACCATGCAAAGAGGGGTCGAAGATTCCCCTCTGAGCGAGGCAATTCGAAACCGAAAACTGAAGACAGGAAGGGGTTGAGGGTCAAACAGCCCCAAACGCCTGAACTCTAGACCAACAGGAGCCTGAATATCGCTATGCTCAGATAGATCACTCTACTAACAGGAAAACCTATATGGACGTCTCAGAACATAAGCATTAAGCCTTTTCAAGCAAAAAAAGGGAACACCATCTGATTAGCATTGCTACTTTAAGGTGAATCAGACCCACCAGACTTCAGTCTGTGTACACAGAAACAAAGCGTCCTCGTTGCATGATCGCACTCAACGAAAACCCATGTGTAAAGGCCTTCAAAACTGTCTACCCAGACCTACAAAGCCCTAAATTCAACACGAACATGAAGACAAAGCGTTTAGGCAGCCAAGACAGAAAGCAAGCACCCAACAAAAGCAGCCACAGATTTTTCTACAACTCACTACGTCCAGTAAACAACAAGACATTTAACAGACCCCACAATCGGCCTGCAGCTGCTGAGAGAGATGTCGCCGAGGCAGCGTGCCTCTCGAATCTGGATGGCTCTGGCGCTTTAGGGCTTAGGGTTGTAAACAGGGTTCGGGGCTCCAGGGTGCTTTGGTGGTTTAGTTCAAGGGCTCTCAGGCGTAACTCGGCAATTCTAGGAGCGAGCTTGTAGATTAGACTGTGGTTGCTGTGGCGGTCGGGCGATGTAGCAGGGCATTAAACGGTACTTCATTGAGGTCTTGTACAAGGGTTCAAACGGCTTAATGCCACGACCCTTACGGTTTTAGGCAGTCTTACTCGGTCGTCTTGGAAGCTAGACGAAGCTTCCGACTGTCTTAGGTTCAGGGTTTGCAAGTTAAGAGTTTAGGGCTGAAGGTTTCGAGTTTAGGATTCTTGGGCTTAGACTTTAGGGTTGTGGGGTTTTGGGCTTGGGAAAGTGTTATTTCGATGCCTTTACACCGGCTGGGGGTGTTCACAAGCTTTCTTGAGGTTTGCAACTTGCGACCGGTGCAAGACAAGCGTAGGGTCCGCTTATGCAGTCCGGACTATCGGTATCTCGAAAATCGAAGACTGGCACAAAACCTGAGCGATGGCTTGAAAACTTGGCCATCCCTGAGAGCTTTGCAGAAATCCTACACCGTAAAACGATATCCACAGCCCTCAAGTCCACTGGGCACCACGCGTACGAAATAGCCTAAACTGCGTGAGTTGAGTGGGTCTAGTTTCGAAAGGAACTTCATCCAAGGCCACAAATGTGAGATGCAGATGTTTTTAGTATTTTCGGGCTTCAGGGGTTTGGGGTTTAGGCTTTGGTTATGTGGCACAGGTGTTGAGGGTCTCGGGCCATGGGCAAAGGGGCTTGAAGCTTCCACTGGAAGCATCTGGGGCCTAAAATATTCTATATTAACCCATACTATACTATATTCTTATTACATTGTAGTTTAATCCACTATATTATACTATACTAGACCATATTAGATTAGGTTAGACTATGAAACTCTTCAAACGCTATGAAACCCTATCCGTACAAAACTGGCGCTCCTGCGGTCAGAAACTCTGTGTCGTCGTAGCCCGTCCGCAGCAGCGTGAGCCACACCAGGATTTCCTGCAGGTGAGGAGTTTCTTAAGCAGTTAGATAATACTTGGTACAACTTAGTGCTTCCGGCATAATGCAATTCTTTTCACTGGGGCTTGGTTAGTGTAAAAGTGTGTGTGTGTGTGTGCGTGNNGTGTGTGTTTTTGATTTTTTTAACAGGGTGTTGGAAAGTGTTCGGGTTCTTCCGATGTTAAACAACGTCCAACAACACCACCCGTCAAAGTCCCCTTTAAAACACGAAACACTTCTGTCCACCTGAAACCGCCTGGTTCTGAAATCAGGTTGCACACTACGCAGGCTTACAGTACCAGGTTACTGCAGATTCAGCCCGAAATAGCTTCTCGTTCAATTCGGGTTTTGGGTTTAGGGTTGAGGGGAAGAGTATCGGCAGGTGGAAGTCAGCATTCTTCTCCCCCCTACCTTCATCCATCCTTGAAGCGCTTTGCAATCGCCCAAGCCGAAACCTCTCGCAAAGTCTAGACGCTAAACCTGCAGAAACCCTAGAACCCGGTTACAACACCCCGTAGTAGCAGCGTAGTAGCAGTAGTAGTAGTAGTAGTAGCAGCAGTAGCAGTAGCAGTAGCAGTAGCAGTAGCAGTAGCACTAGCAGTAGCAGTGGCAGTGGTAGTGGTAGTGGTAGTGGTAGTGGT